GCAGCAGCAGCAGCAGCAGCAGCAGCAGCAGCAGCAGCACCATTTGGGGGAGCTACCAGCCCTCTGGTGTCTCCCTCATGGAAGGGGCACCTGTGTGTGAAGCCTGCCCAAATGAAATTCAGCAGAAACAAAAGCAAAACTCTACGTCGAAGTTCTACATTGTTCTACATTGTACTTTGTTCTACAAAGTTCTACACTGAGCTCTTGTTTTTATGACAGAAATAAAATAAAATAAAATGCATACACCATGATACAATGTATGCCATGCAACAATTAAGGAACAGATGCCCAACTTGGAGGTGTCATCTCACTTTTTTCCAAGAATTTAAAATACATTTCTCATATTCTTTAAAGTATATCTTTCCAAAAAGAGAAGTGCAAAGACAATGGTTGTGAAACAGTCTAGTTGCTACTGATGTGTCCAATCAAAGGAAATCATCTGGCTTTAAACAGGACAGGTGCAAGGTAGCTCATTCCATGAGTTCCATATCCTGGACTTTGAGGCACCAATAATGCATCGTTGGTTCCTCCACTGGCTTCTATTGCCATATAATCATGTCTCCAAATAGTCTACCTTAAGTAAACCTTGAGTCCCGGTGACTTCATGGATGAGTCCAACAAGGTTTCTTGACAACGGTATTGAAGGGACTGGCCAATGCCTTCTTCTGAGAGTTTTTTTTTTCCAGTTTCCTAGCTTAGTCTGCAGCTTTGCGATTTCCTAGTGGTGCCCAGTCCAAGTACCAACCAGGTCCAATTTGCTTAACTTTTCAAGATCAGCCAAAGTACACTAGGTCCACGACCCGCTGTGACAGTTAGCTGATACTAATAAAAAGTGAATTTTTTTGTGTGTGGAATTGATGCACACGCTCAGCAAAATTTAGGCTGCCATTATCATCATCAAGAGCATCATCATTAAAATTAAATGTAAAGGCATGTGATGTTCATCTTTCTCTTGGCAATGGAAATTACAAGTAAAGGAGGAGTCAGCAGTTGCAAAATGGCATTAACAGAAGCTCTGGGATCTCTGAACAGAAGAAACAAGGGATGTTAACTTCATCCTCTCCGGTCTCCCCTGCCCCCCCATAACCCCAAAATCAGATTGGCTGTTTCTATGCTGGTCAGAGCAGCAGATCCTGATCAGAATTGCTGAAGGGGAGGAAAGAGGATTTAATCTCACTTTTCCCAGCAGGAATCTTACAGGCAAAATTGATGTTTTCATCAGGTGAAGAAGAATCAGCTGTTTCGGTAGCTGCCATAGCAAGTTTGAAATCTTCTTGATCTTATACCCCTTTCCTCTGGGCTTTCTCTCCATTGAAGGCTCTAAAGCTGTTGGGATCTAACTGCTGCCAGTGATGTTTTCATTGGGATTCCTGCCCTGGGGAAGGAAAGTGTACCTTCACTCCATCCAGTGGTTCTGATCAAGGCCGCTCACGGGTCTTCTTCCTTGCATGTGATCTTCCCCAGTACAATTACTTCCAACAGCTTGCTATAGGGTTGTTGGGCTGGCTGTCAAGAGCAGAATTGTGGGGTGGGAAAGAGCTTGCAAAGTCAATAATCCCAATCATTCTTTCCCTACACAATCATCACAGCCTCAGTGGGCAGGGATGTGCTTTGGGTGGAGCTGAGCCAGATGCATCCATGATGCTTCAAGCTGTTGGTGAGGTAGACAAACTGGAAACAGGTTTGGAGAAGGACCAGAAGAGACGCATCCAATAGGAAATAGTGTGTGGTAAGTTCTCCCACCTAGTGCTGTCTGGTTGTATTGTGAGTAAGACCATGCTGGCTGGGAATGATGGGAAATTTACCAATACCAATACTTTAATGGCCAAGTATAAAACATACACAAGGAATTTATCTTCG